TTGTGTATGGAGTGTGTCCAGATCTTTATCAATGAGATTTACAAATGACAACGTCTTGCTCCATTGCCAGCTAGTCAATTCCAACTCATAGTGACTCTACAGGCAGAGTAGAACTGCCCTATACTATTTCCAAGGCTGAAATCTTTAAGGGAGTAGACTGCCATATCTTTCTCCCATGGAGAGGCTGGTGGGTTCAAGCTCCCAATCTTTTTGTTAGCACCCAAGGGCTTAACCACTGAACCACCAGGACTCCTAAAGTTTGGCTACAATTTTGAAAATACCCTGACTGAGGAGGTAAGAGATCACCACAAGGAGAGTCAGGTGAGTAGTGAGTCCAAAGGAATATATTTTCTTTAAAATAAACAATCTTTGTGGGCTCTACTAGTTATAAATGTATAAATGTTTAAATCTGGAAGAGCTGTGAATTCAGTGCTGACATGGAATGAATTAGCACTAATACTCAGATGAGCAATTATTAACAAATTGATCGTTAGTTGGGCTACATTGTTGTCACGTTGCTACAAGAAAGAGGATTTCTGTGTGCTTTTGTGTCGGAGAGGCTATGTCATAAATATGTTTGGCACCAACGAGAGGAAAAAAAACACCAATGAGAGAGAGGTGTGTAGGGGTATCTCTGTGGGTGATTGAGCCCAGGTAAAAGGCAAGTTACAGAGAAATACAGAGAAGTTGCATGCATTGTCATTCAGTAACTACAGCTTCTCTTAGACTAAGGAACTAATAACATTTGTAATTCCATCTAAAGACATTTCAGTAAACAGAGGTAAATGAAAGCTCCATTTTATTTGATGATCTGACTAACACTGTATCCCTGGAAAAATACGAATGCCTTAAATATGGGTTAAATACTATTATTAGATGGGATTTGTTAAGACAAATGCAGGTCTTTTGCTTGACCTTGTTAGAAGCAGGTTCTCTTTCTTAGGAGCCTAAAGTAATGAGCAGCACACATTGACACTCAATAAATACTGTCAAATCAGTTAACACTGAGAATAGTTCTTGATCTTTTTGCCAATTCGGATAAGAATATATTTGGTAAATACTGACTCTATAAGGAAGCTGTATATCTATACATTGCATGTATTTTATTTCTTTAACATACTGAGGATGAAAACAAACTGCAAATATGGAGCGCTTTAATCCTTACTTAGTCTTTTATCTATTAAAGGGAACATAATCCATTACTACTTTCATCTTTTCTGCAAAGTGTCATAAATCCATTCTGTTATTCATTCATTTGCTTTTATATAATTCTCTCTCTTGAAAAAAAAGATAATAAACTATTATTTTAGGTTTAACTTTTCTTTGGATAAATGTATGATTTCTTCTTCTTCTTCTTCTTTTTTTTTTTTTAATGTTTCAGAAGCAGAATTTACTATAAGACACACATGCACCTCTTCTCTTTACCTGACAGTTGAGGTGGGGGTGGGAGAGTGGAGGGGATTTGGGGGTGTAGTGATGGCAGTAAAGGGTAGCAGATGCTTTTGGATAAATGTATGAATTAAATGAAAAAAATTAATTTGAAACCAAAGGATTCTAAATTAAGGAAAAAAAAAAAACTATGATCTTTTGCACGTACAAAAACAAATCCATAATGCCTAGTGGGCTTTCTGAATTCTTAATTACATGTAAAGCACCACTGTGGCTGGAGCTTTAAATATATGATCAACTCTCCAAGACCAAAAAGGAATGTAAAACATTTCCCAGGATGTGATCTATTTGTTTCCCTTTTTCCTTAGGGACATTTGTCACTAGATAGACATTTTACTGTTTATTATCTTTGGTGTTTTCCAGTTTGCTATAGAAAGAAAGAAATTCACATTCCATTCAAAACCTCAATGTAATTATCCAAAAACACTTTAACTCTTGGAAAGATATATTTCTACAAAGTGTTAAAGCAGTATATGTCTCTTACTTTAGGGGAAACTGTAGTGGTATTTATTGTTTTGCAAAGTCCTTTCACAAAAAAAAAAAAATGGTATTGACAACTCCCATGTAAAGTAAGTGGAGAGATATTTTATTATTGTTATTATTTTACACATGAGGAAACTGAAACTAGGTCACTTGAGTTGACTTACTCAAGTTCATACAATCAGGGAGGGAAGGTTAGTAACCAAATCCTCTAAATTTTAATGTAGCACTCTTTAATGTAGCACCAATTGTAATGTTGGTGGTCAGTTCTACCATGGCTACTTTCTTTTTTTCTTTGCTTTATATTGTAAACAATACAATTGGGAAAAAAGTGAATGTGCCACCAAAAAAAAAAAAAAGAGGCTCAAGGTATTCTTTTAACATTAGAATTTTCCATAGAAAAAAAGTATCACTCAGGATAACAATAATATTGAGACTTAAGGATTGAAAGTCATTCGTTGTTACTAGAGCTCAGCACAGTGGTCATGATGGGAGTTAATGGTTTAAGAATCTCAAAGGAATTTAATGATTCCTGCATATGGTCTGGTGCCAGGGTCACCAATGTGGACTTTATTAGCTTTTTATTTAATTCATCTGGAAGCTATTCATGAAGTACCTAGCATGACCCAGGCATTTCACTGTGTCCTGGGTCTGCAGGAAGAATAAGTATGTTTAACCAGGGAAAAAAAAAAAAAAGTTAAGTAAGTAAATTAATTAAATTTAAACAAGTATGATTCATAGGGGCTGTTTTCCTTTTCAGCATAAGCAGTATTCTATGTGCCTTTGTGAATACTAATAACAGAGGGCAAGGGGACAATGACAGTCACTCTCCACCTACCTGCAGGCAGCTCTGTTTATGAAGAAAGAGGCAAGAGTGAGAGAAGAGATGCCTTCTTTTTCCTGAGTAACCAACACAATGCAGTTAATGTTTTTATATGACTGCGTTGCCCCAATATCATGCAGAATGATGGGTTACCCTCTCTGGTGGGGACCAGCACCTCCCCTCTTTCACCTGGCTAAGCTTTGTTCACACTTAAAGGCTCTGCTCTAACATTATCCCTTCCAGAAAGACTTTCTGCCCCAGCCCCACCCCACCTATCTGGTGTCACCCAAGCCAAGGCTAGGTATATATATATATAAATATATATATATATTTCTTACCACAGTGTGCATTTCTCCACTATGTTGTGAGTTCTTTAGTAACAGGAACTATTAAATAAAGCTTATGTTCACAGCACTTTCCATAAGATCTGACACAAACTAGGTAGTGGTGGCAACATCTCCAAGGGGTGGTATATAGTGTGGGGGAAGTATAGGACATAGCTTTAGCTGCACCTCTTCCTTCATAGCTTCTACTAGTCATTCCTCTTCACCCCAACAAAACATGCAGTCTATTTAAAACCAGTGTGTTTAGTATGCCAACATGGTGTCAAGGTAGTGTCTCTCACACTTCCTTCCAACCAGATTGCTTAGGGAGCCCCTCCTAGGTGTCACTCAAACTCAATAAATATCATTACAATACTTTTTTGGGGAAGTGGAAAGGAAAAGATTAAGAATGAACTTAAATGACCACTTCTTTTTTCCAAAAGGTTCTATTGAAATATAATTACAGACAGTAAAATTTATCCCTTTCAATGATATATACAGTTTGACAAATTTTGACAAATGCATATAGCTATCACCACAGTCATGATGGAGAACACTGTTATCAACCCAAAAACTCCCTTGTGTCCCTTTGAGTTCCTATCATTTCAACCCAGCTCTTAAGAAGGACCACAGCACCTGTCAATGTCAAAGATTAAAGAATGTTTCTTTGCATCATGGGCAACTTAAATGCATCTCTCCAAAATGAATCATTTATGTTCCCTCACTTATCAGTCCATCATTTGGTTGTGCTATGTTTTTCTTTTTGGAAACCTCAAAGCATTTAGCAAACAATACTTCATTGTTAATCCCTAAAACACCTGGCCTGACCTAGGGATTAATACCCTAATTCAATGAAACCAATGTCTCTCTTCCTCCAATTAACCTATATATGTGTGTGTATATATGAAAATATATATATTTTTTCTTTTCTTCTTACCTGCACCTGCTGTTTAAATATTTTAACAGTGTTAGGTGTGCTATTGTTGATGAGGAGGCTACCCCTTTCATCAAGTAGGTCCTGTGCATTTCCCTTAGTTAGCAGTTACAGTCTCTTGTGGTAACTATGCAGACTCCACATCTTGGGAACACTTGCTATATTTGATGGATTAGTGGAATGATTCAGCAAATGAGTGCACGACTGAATAAATGAATGACTGAATGAATGAATGAGCACTTGCCTCCATTTCATAGATGAGGCAGCGTCTGGGAGGCACAGAGAGGTCAGGTGACTGGCAGAAAGCCACTCACTGAGGTAGCAGTACCTGACCAGATGTCAAGAGTAATTTCTTTGCTCTTTTCATTTAGCTGTAAACTCTTTTTTAACACCTCAGGAACTATCAAAATTAAAGAGTAAAAATGGAGAAATCCATCACACACCATTAAGTGGTTTTTAAAAGTGAATTTAATGTGCAAAGAATAGCATGAATAAGGATTTTTGGAGTAACTTTGCACTTGCTAGGAAGAATGTTTTCCTCCCTTTTATTTGCCAGTCCTCCATTAAAGGGACTCACTAATAATTCTTGGTAATGCTCTGTGGTTTTTGCATGAAATATTTGGTACATGTCCGTTGTGTTCGTTTCACAGCCTTCTCTGCTGCTCAGTAAGTACATTGTGAGGAGAGAAGCCAGAAGAGGTTCTACATGGTGATGGTCCATTATTGTATCTACCCTTGCCCTTTCTTTCCTTTCTTCCACGTTTCCACAGCAGAAATAGATATAATTAAATTTCAGTTGAGAGGCTTTTATGCAGGAATAGGCATCAAAAAGAGTTCCAATGAGCATAAAAGAAAAACTGCATTTTTACAAAACTCTAAATAGTTCTAACAGCAAAAGAAAGGAGAAAAGAGCTAATTAAAGTCGCGCTTCCCAGGGCAGTCAAGTGCTTTTCCGTCTGTCCTGAGCGTGTGCCTTCTGTCCATCGAGCTCAGATATTCGTCAACCGCTGCTGCCCCCAGGCTCGCGTCCTTTCCCTCTGCTCCTCTAGCGCTGCTCACCCTCCCTCCCTCCGGCTTCTGCGCTTTCTTACTCCTCTCTCAGCTGCTTAACTACAGCTCCCACTGGAACTTGCACAATCAAAAACAGCTCTCCTCTCCAGCAGCCTCCAGAGCGCATCACCTGGAGCAGGGTGACTGGTTCGCCGCACGCGCCGCAGAGCAACCAGGTAGCTGGGGAGCAGGGAGGGGACACCCCTCTCCCGCGCTGGAGCCGCGGGCGCATCGCCTCGGAGCTTCCTTGGATCCGGCCAGCCAGCCCCGGGCTCCTGTAGCAATGATGCAGACGTCGCGGAGCCACGATGGCAAGAGAAAACCCCCCGCCGGTGGCCACTGAAAGCGGGGAGGGCTTGCTGCAGTGGCTGGTGCTGCAGAATGTGTGAGTGAGGAGCGGAGCCCCGCTCCATTCTCCAACCCCCTCTGTCTTCTTTAACTGTCTCCAGGAGGGAACCTGGCGAAACAGATGCTCTAAGCAAGCGGGGGCCACCCTGGATCTATAACTGTGAACTCCCTACTGTGGAAAATGGTAAACAAAGACATGAATGGATTCCCAGTCAAGAAATGCTCAGCCTTCCAATTTTTTAAGAAGCGGGTAAGGACAGGTTTTCTTTTTCTTTTGTTTTCTCCTCTTCTCTTAAACGCCTTTAAATGCCTGAGGTCAGCCTCACGATTGGTGGCCAAACCCCTCATTAATGCGTGTTTCTCCTAGCAGCGGTGTATCTGAGAAATTTACCTGCCTTAATGCTCATCTGTGGGTGGGATAGCCCAGGAAGAGTTGTATGGGGCGGGGGAGGGGGAGGCTGTGGTGCTTTGAAGAGGGTTAACCTGGGAATGGGGATTTGTGCATCAAAGCTACCAATATTATAAGGCAGTTTAAACCAAATTGGACTGAGTACAATTATGGCTACTAATTTAGTCTCAGACTACCTCAGTCGCTCTCTCACTCTCCTCTTTGAAGGGTTCAACTTTTCAACACCTTTCATTCACTTACCTCAAATGCTGCATTATCATCTTCATTCGTCAGCAGCAGTAGCTCTTGGTTTCCCTAAGGCATCCAACCAATAATTTGCTGCATCTCTATCTATAGTATAAGCAGCAAAGGACTGGAATGACCTTTTACAGAAACAATGGAATATAGCATTTTAAGCCTTCTATTGCGAGTTTCCTCAATTTGCTTGAGATGACTGCCTTTCTTCTCAAAAAAGAGAATAGTGGGCAACCTGTATTCGAGGGATAATTCAGAGTTATGCCACTGTATACGTTTATTTTTAAAACTCCTTGTTCCTCCATTCATAGTATTGATAATGTTACCAATTAATAATTGATTGTAAAGGGGGGGAGAGGTTTTTCTTTTTGTTTATTTATTTCACAATAAAATCAGTTCATTGTAATGGCAACACACTGGTGGTCTAGTAAATCTGCAAATGCATACAAAAGTGGGAAGTAAAGAATGAATGATTGTTAAGGGATTGATGACTGGCAACCCTTATGGAGAGTGTTTCTTAAACAAGGAAGCTTCCTCGAGCCTGTACAGCCCCATCCTGTTTAATACCCAAGTCAATCCATCCAAATGGTTCCCTTCATTCATTCTTCCTTCCCTTCATTCAAGTCCTTTTTATGTTGTGCCTGAAATGTAGCCCTTCACTTCAGCCACCAGCAGAACACAATGAGTCACAGCTGGGTTGGACTAACTCCCTATATCAAATGGGCAAGGTAGAAGGCAAGACTGGGAACCCAGGCAGCCCAGCCTATGAGATCCAGACAGAGGAGGAGCCAGGGCCCCTACCCACCTGGGACTGAGTTCTCATCAGTAAAGTGAAATTGTCTCTAATGTCCATGAGCCAAAATATATGTATCAAACCCCTCCCCCCAAAAAAACAACCTATGTTAGCCACTGCTTGTGGAACAGAGCACCAATCACCATCTTTCACTGGTGTGGACTCCAAGCTGAATGAGAGCAAGTCCAAGCAACTCTACAGAGCTCCACAATGTTTCTTAATTTTTCCCTGTAGCCCAATTACTTCTTTCTAGGGAAAGGGCCTTTGTGAGAACTAATTTCCAACGTTAAGCAAATGTCTGCTTATAAAAAATGCCACATATCATCATTTCAGTACTTCTTTTAGTTTAAGCCCTCTAGCTATTCTCTTTTTATTTCTTTATGTATTTGTTGGTATTAGGCATGGGTGTGTTTTAAAACTTCAGTTATTCTTAATCAACCAAATAGCTGTCAAGTAGATTTTTTTTTAAGTTGTCTCTTCTATTCTTTGCTATGGGAACATACTAATAGGAATACTAATTAACCATCTGGTTCCCTTCTGCTTAAAAGCATAATTTACCAAGAGCCTTCAGTTGGTGCCTCTGCAGACCTTGAATTTTGCAAATAAGAACAAGGCAGAGGACTGATGTCTTACCTGAACATGTGCAGGGAGAAAGAAGTTTAAACCAAGATAACTGACAGGTGGCTTTATCTGCCTTCTAACCTGGTTCTATCAGTCACTGCAGATAGGATCAGTACTCCCTCCAGCCCAAACAGACCCCTCAAGGGAGACAAATCAAGTAGAATATGTGTTTATTTCAAGTCATTGGCAGCCTGGGGAAAAATTCCTTGATTCTTGTCTATTTGTGGTAGATTCCACAAGTTCTCCATCCTAATAATTCACTTCAGTTTGTACCATAGCTTTGCTTTTGGTTCTGCTGTTGCTTATTTGTTCTTACATTACACAACAATATGTAAATAAAGTGTAAAACATTAAAACAATAAGCCAAAACCAAACCAATTGCCATGGAGTTGATTCCAGTTCATCGCAACCCATGAGTACAGAACAGAACCACACTCCACAGGGTTTGCAAGGCTGTCACCTTTTGGAAGCACATCATCGGCCTTTCTTCCGAGGTGTCTCTGGCTGGGGTGGAACTGCCCACCTTTCATTTAGTAGTGGAGCACTTAACCATCTGCGCCACCCAGCGGCTCCATTATAACAATATCTAGGTATACATATCCTACTCCTCCGCAATCTTCCTTTTCCCAGAGGTAACTGTTATCATTTTGGTGTCTCTACTTCTATTCATTTACATACACATTATATATTATCATGTCTCTCTTTTCAGCTAAGAATGGCCAATTTTTTCTATATTCAATTGTTGAAGTTCCATACATTTCTGCATATTTCTTATGAACCTAGCTAGATAGTCTTACAAAATGGACCTTTGTCTGGTGCCCACATTGAGCCATGAATAGATCTTGAAGAAAACAAAAACAAAAGACAAACCATAGGGTTTTTTAGGCCTTACTAAAAAGACTGAGGTTTGGACTGAAATTTTGATTGCAGAAACCTTAAACCCCTACTCTGCTGGTGACACACGTGTAGAGAGCATAAGAAGCTGGTCAAAAGCAGATAAAAAAAAATCTGTCCTTGGTACTTGTCCACCATTCAATCATTTAAGAGAGTAAGCCTTAAAAAAAAAGTACTTACAGCCCTGGAGTCAATTCTGACTCTAGCAACCCTGTCAGACAGAGTAAACTGTCCCACAGGCTTCTCAAAGCTGTAATCCCCCCCACCCCGAGGCTATAATCTTTACAGAAGCAGACCGCCAGGTCTTTCTCCAGCAGAGAGTCAGGGACAAAGCTTCGGTTCACAGCCAAGCTCTTAACCACTGCACCACCACTTACACTCCTTGGGTAGTAAGCCGAGACACCATTTACTGAATGTGTACCCTATTCTAGGCATTATAGGCAGAGTGCTCTTTGAAATCCTCACAGTAACCCTATGAAGTCTGAAAAATTATCAGAAGTGGAAAGTATTGTTTAAGGAGATTAACAACCTGCCCAAGGAGCTCTGGTAGCATAGTGCATAGGGCACTTGACTGCTAAACAGAAGGCTGGAGATTCCCACCAGCCACTCCTCGGAAGGAAGATTGGGCAATCTACTTCTGTAGTGATGATACTGCCTCAGCAACCCAAGGAAGGGTCGTTATAAATCGGGTCCGACTGGACAGCACATAACACACATAACAACAAACAACCTGCCCAAGATCACAAAGCTAAAAAGCAGCAGAGCTAGAATTTAAACCATTTTTGACCCAAAGAAGTCTCTGGGTGGTGCATACATTCAATTACTACCTGAGAGGCTGATGGTTCAGAACTCGCTCGATACCCATTGGAATTGCTTCCAAATTCCAATTTTGGTCATAGCCTTAAAATCCCTATGAAGCTCAGTTCTACTTTATAGTGTGTGGAGAATCAACCTGAACCTGACAGCAATGGTTTTTATTTATTGATTTAGACTTGAATCCTGTTCTCTTAACTCTGATTTTCACAGCCCTTTCTTTTTTCCACTGCAGGATCTTTTTTCCCCAAATGAAATCTTTATGCAAATTCCCAATTTATAAAACCTCTAAAAGCAGTCAAGCCTCAGTTCACTGTCTAAAATGAATAAATGGTGGACAGCTAGGGACTTGTATAGCCAGCTTCTCAAAGCCCCTTTCGTTGTGACAGTGACTGAAGGCAACTGTGGGGTACTAGGCATCTAGGAACAATCTGAAGAAACACAGGCCTGGTGCTTTGCCACAAGATCCCTTTGGCTTTTGCTTTCCACCCACATATTTTCAAAGCTCAAGTAAACCAGCTTCATTTCATTTAGCTGAGAATTGCTAAAGTAACGTCTACTCCCCTTCTCTGGGTTAATGACAAATTAACATTAGATGTCTATGGATTAGGCATTATTCTTATAGTCTCCAGAGATTCATTTAAGATGAAAAGAAAGATAGCCTTATTATACTTACTCTCACAATCCCAGAGCTTTAACAGTTACTAGAATCCATTTTCACAGATTCAAAGATTTGCTCAAATTTTTACATCAAGACTCAGAAACCATGAATGAATGACATTGTCTTCAACTTGATATCCTTTTTGGAAATATTCTAGGGTTGTAAAAAGACTTCAAAAGCCACAATTACCAGACCTTTTGTAAAATTCCAAAACATATCTAGACATACAGAATTTTCAATTTGGAATGAACTTTAGGAAAACCTCTCCTTCTACCTCTGTGTTTTAAAGATGAGGAAATTGAGGGCCTGGGTAGTGAATCACCTACTCAAATTAGAATAGGGCTAAGACAGTCCTCACGTTTAAGCTTTTCCCTTCCAGCTCCCTTATGCATTTTGCTATCAGGCTAATGCAATGCTTCGTGCCTTGTTCTTTAATTCTTTCCACAAATAGAGTAAGAACTCTTCATGGAGCCAACTGCCTAGTGACTACCAACTTTGACCCGATTCTTCTCTCTTGACTCAGTATTTCATGATTAAGTGCATCTGAACAATTCCTATATTGCTCTTTGATAATAATAATTTTATGATAATAACTATCACTTCTACAGTTAGTCCCCAACTTATAATGGCATTCTGTTCTGACAACTGTGTAAATAAGTTCTGAGATAAGTCAAATACATTTTCCTTTTAAGTTTTCATGTATTCATACAGAAATATTTTGAACAGTAAATCATAACATCTGTGAGTGAATATCAAAGAATGATAACATCAGCAAATTGGACACTACAACACTGTATGTAATATCTATTACTAACAATGAGATGC